CAAGTGAAGATTATTTTCCTGATTGGATATATAAGAAACTTGAGCAGAATGCTGAACTTGATCTGAACATCATTATGAATGCAAATGAACATTTGAGGCTAAGGAAATTGTTAATAGTTGGCTTATGGTGCATACAAACTGATCCTACAACTAGACCATCAATGAGCAGGGTTGTACAAATGTTAGAAGGGAACATGGAATCTCTACAAATCCCACCTAAATCCAACTTCATTTTACAGCAAAGAGAAGCAGTAAATCCTTCAACTTTTGAGTGATCACTTTCTTCCTCTGATGCTCATGAAGTTAAGCTGTGACCCATTAAAACTTCCTGGAATCCTGTCCTGTGGTGATTGGAGGCTCCTAGTGACCGAGTATAGAAGCAGTTATCTCGGTTGTTGGTGCTATAGAAATTTGTATGTTGAATCTCGTCTCAATGTCAAATTTCACATTTGTGTAAAACCAGAGTAATTAAAGACAACACATATACCTTTCATTCGTCTAGTCGTTGTTATTAAATAGTCCTTAAATAAGATAACGTGTTGCATAGCATTTATTTGTTGTGCTTGATCTCCTCTTTCTTCTAGGAGATCAATCTAGGCTTTCATGTGCTTGAAGTTTATTTATTTTATATCGATCTTGATTATGGACAGTATTCGAATTCCCAGGCAACCATGACCTCCTCCCTGCGAGTTGCTCCTTTGGTGTTTTGCGAGCCTTCTAACCAATGAATGGCACAAGGAAGAACCAGTCCACCTCCCTCAACCATGCAATTGACTTGGCCTCAACATATTTTACCACATTTTTACCATCCTTGGAACGGTGGTGATGGAGAAGGCCACATATATAATTGCGAAACAGATTTAGGGGACCCTTTCTGTGAAACAGAGAAACATGAAAAACCGTAGTACACTTTTTTCTCCTACATGGCAAAAATAAGCAACGAGTGAACGTAGTTCTCATATTAAATGTGTAACTCTATAAATTTTTGTGTTTTCTAGTCTATATTTCTTATTTCAGTTTGCTTATTATTGCTCTCATAATTAGTATTTGGGCTTAATTCCCAATAGATGGTCCAAATAAATGTCAGGGGAGGGTTTTCCTACTATTTTTCTATCCAATTTTGTTACTTCTCTCTCTTGATTCATTTACGAGCAATTTTATCAATATCATCCATAGTCTTCTGCCTGGTGTATGTGCTGCAACAGCTGAGTCTGTTATCCCCATCTACCATCTGTTGTCTCTTTGAAGCTTATTTTTCAACTTAATTGTAGGCTGGGTAACAGTGATTCCAACGGTCAAACATGCGGCCTTTTCACTTGTGCCAATTGCCAGGCTGACCTCGCTCCAAATGAAGGAATATCAGTTCACGCTGGTTCCATCTTGTCTATGAGCTCGACTCCTTGGCAAGGTCCTTTCCTTTGTACTGACTGCCATGATAAGATGGATGGATGCAATGGAAGGAAAACGGCCAAGTGGAGTTAGCGTAGTACTTTTTCATAATATCTCTTTTTTTTTTCTTTTTCCTTTTGACATTCTTTCTCATTGATCGCCATTATTTTTAGTCAGAAATATTTGGTCATTGGTTGATGTATATCAGATCAAAAAGTAATTCTAGTGAGAGAGTTGAGCAAGAACATGCTTAGATAC